AGTGCTGTCAAACGATTAATCACATCCAAAATAATTTACATATGTGTGTGTACTGTGTATATTTATCATGTATATGCATGTATATATTTAAGAAAAATAAGTTGTTTATATTTCAAATTTATTTATAATATAAATTATATGAATATAACTATATACATGTAAATATGTTTGAAATATATACTGTATCTGTGTGTATTTATATATACATAATAAATATACACCGTACACACACATATTATGTAAACAAACGCTTTTATTTTGGATGCGATTAATCGTTTGACAGCACTAACATATATATATATATACTGTATATATATATATAGAAATTATGTAGTTATTAATAAATACTATATATATATATATAAAATAAAAATTACCAAAGCACATGAAACGAGCTTAACCATATTGCTACTCTTTTAAATATATATAAAAAAGCAGTTTAACCACTGATCATTAGTAGCTTACATTCTAAAAACTTCACCTTTTTTTTGGTTTAAAATTAAAAATGAGCAAATTTTAAAGCTGTGAAATCAATGAAATGCAGTAGGCCCTATACCTTATGAACGGAGTAAATACAAGTAAAACATGTAATTGGATCAGTTTTATGCCTTCTGCCTAAGAACACGGTAAAATCACAGTAAAACATGGCTAATACTATCGCTAATACTGTTTTCACTTTACAAAAACAGACCAACATGTGAGTAATACAGGTGTTTTGTACATTTGCTATGGCAATGATGTACAAATGGTATCAGTCGGTAATACCATGGTACTCCAAGGCAGGGTCTTTCCATAGTACAGGGGTCACCAAACTTGGTCCTGGAGGGCCAGTGTCCTGCAGATTTTAGCTCCAACCCTAATTAAACACACTTGACGCAGCTAATCAAGGTCTTACTCGGTAGAATTGAAACTTTCAGGCAAACTCTGCAGGACACGGCCCTCCAGGACCGAGTTTGGTGACCCCTGTACTATGGAAAGACCCTGCCTTGGAGTACCATGTATTACCAACTGATACCATTACTGTACCATGGTACCGGCACTGTACTTTTATGTAAGGTTGAAGAGATAGCACAAGTGATGAATGAAAACAAAGAAACAATCAACATAAGATTGATAAGCTTTAATATGATATCAGTGCAGAGATACAACTTATTGGGTCAAATTTCCCATACAGTAATGTCAACAATAATCATAATAACAGTATCATAATAATGTCAATATACATTTAGCATATTAAAATAAGCACGTACTTGCTTTATTTATTTGATAAAAAACTGCCTATTTTATGCATTTATCTAATGTTGTCTTTAAAGTTGAAGAAAACCACAAAACCAATGGCGCACATAAGGGCAGTGTTATCTGAAATTCAGTGGCTTCAGGGGGCTCGGTCTAGTGAATGACCTTCATAGTAGTAGATATTATACAGACATACATGTACCAGCACTTTCTGCACATTCAAATGCACAACTCTCACGGTAACATCTTCATATGGCTGCACTGCTTTGAGAAAGATACGGCTTCACCATTTCCTCCTTTGGCATTAACATCGGAACATTCAAGTACTAAGTGGAGAACTGCATTGCTTTATAGTTTAGTGTTGAATGCTACATGATTCAATGGGCAGTGACCTAGATTTGCTGGTGTTAAGGCACCTGTAAGAGTTTAAATATGGGATTTTTGCCATTTACTAAAAGCGAACGCTATAGAAAGCATGTGCACATTGAGTCTAGATGTATCTGGTTTATTTGGGGAAAATATGCAGAATTTCACCCGACAACAATATAGTTCTTCCCTAGACGTGAAGATGAGAAGAGTCTGGAGAGATGCGTTATCTGTAACGTAACTGTCTATCACTCCAGCAGATAGGAGTATCAATCTATGGGAGTCTTGAGCATTGAAATGTCTGTGAGATCTAGTTTGAAATCTCTGTCTCTCTGACATCTGGTTTGTTCAAGGAGGTAAAACACTCAGACTGTTATGACATGTGCACTAAAATTTGCTGTAGGTAATATTAAAGAGAATATCACTAAAATATATATATATACATTATATCATGTGTGTGTGTGTGTGTTTGTGTGTGTGTGTGTGTGTGTATTGGCCACATTTGATATAATTTTACATAGAAGTACATATAAAAATTCTAAATATATTTTATTTTGGGGGTAAAATGTGACAAAAATAAATAAACTTTTTTACCTTTATTGTATATAATATGCGTGTTTGATTGGTCACATTTTACCCCAAAATGGGGGAAAAAAATTATATATATATATATATATATATATATATATATATATATATAATTTTTAGGTAAAATGTGACCAATAAAAATAAATAATTTTCTTAATTTCTTAACTTTTTATTTATTCTCATTGTTGTAATACAATGTTTTTTTTCCAACAGTATTTATTTAAATTCATAGAACAAAATAACACTTTCCACACACACTATATATATATATATATATATATATATATATATATATATATATATATATATATATATATATATAATTTTTAGGTAAAATGTGACCAATAAAAATAAATAATTTTCTTAATTTCTTAACTTTTTATTTATTCTCATTGTTGTAATACAATGTTTTTTTTCCAACAGTATTTATTTAAATTCATAGAACAAAATAAAATATTAAATAACTACTAAAAACTATGTATAAAACCATCATGTTTAAGTATTTTTTGTCTTTTTTTAAGCAATTATAATTGGGAGACTTTTGGGGGTAACTGTAACAAAAATAATGCAAGAAAATGTTAATAATGCTGAAAATATGCATAATTGTCTTATTATCCTATGATATAATTGGATTTCTTTTCCTCTGGAGTGAAACATGACCTGGACATGTTTTGTGTAGTTGTACACAGCCACACATCTCCAGTCTGCTCACAAAACACACTATCTGTCACTGGCTTCACTGGATGTTTCCAATAATCCAGCTATCCAGCCGCTAAACACTTTCATTATAAACTCCACGAAAACGAAGACTCCGTTTCTTAGGTTTAATCATGACAAGTGTTTAGCGGCTGGATAGCTGGATTATTGGAAACATCCAGTGAAGCCAGTGACAGTGAAAAGACATTACATCTCAATAGGCTGTGAAAGGTAAGATGGACTTGGATGTTAGGAACCGCATGGGCACCTTGCAGTGAACACCAAACTAATATGGCTTACTTCCTTTTAAACAGGGAGTCAGGGGTGGACTAGGTGGAAATTCAATTCACAGCCCAAAATGAATATCAAAATAAAAGTCATAAATTGAAATATTAAGTCCAACACACTCCCCTCCTGGGGTTCATAATACCCCACTTTAATCTTTGGCTTAACAACCGGATTGTGTGCCAAACCTCATCTTTGTACCATTAAACCTTAGCAATGTGTCAATCTCTTTTTCACCAGGGGTTTAGATTTACATTCAAATTGAACAGAAGATCTAAAGTGCAAATATGTGTTTAAGAATCATCATCATCCATTACTACATATCGCCACAGTCGTAACCAATAGTCTTAAGAAATAATTTAGATCCTTTATGATTCGACTTTAAAGACAACCTCAAGGCAATTCAAATAAAAAGAGAGTTAATGTTATTATTTATGTATTCATATGGGTCAGACTGCATGAAGCACCATCTTTAAACAACGCAAGAAATCACTAAGATTAAACTCTTTTTAAAGATCCAATATGCTACATAACGTCTAAAACAATTTAGTTTTATAAAAAAAAAAAAAAAAGAAATTCTCAAATTTTTGAACCAACTGTACTGGCCTGCCAATAATTGTAATATGCATTTGCACACTTCCAGAAAAAAATCAATTTCAAGAAAAACTCGATAAGGACTCTACTGAGTAGACAAGACAAAGTACCAGGACAAATAAATGCTTAACTTTATCATCAAAGTAGAAATCTATAGTAGAAATCTTAGAGCATCTTCCTATAAATATGTATGCTTACAGCAAAATTGACAAAAATATATGTTTTTAAAGACAATAAACCGAGATCAGAGACAGAAACACAGTATTGCCACTAATCGAACAAAGAAAGGCACATGAATAACATGAACACTGAAAGTGGTCAGTGAGGACAAGGCATAAAGACCCCATGAAACAGCTCGCGAGCACAGTTTTCTTTCCTTTATTTACATATTTCCTGTTGAAACACAAAGTTTTGGTTGGATTTTTTTTCTTTCTTTTTTTTTTTTACCAGGCTAACCATGATTTGCAACCATGACTGCAGAGAAAAGGACATTTCCATTTCAGAATTTGATTGAACAAATATTAAAACATTAAATATATGATCTTTTTAAAGTCTGTGCGACAAATATTCATTTTGTTAGCTTTTAGGAGTACACTAGCACAGTGGTTGCCAGCACAGGTGTAATTAAATAAAGCATCATTAAACTTGAATTAAAAGCAAAACTAAAGACGAAACTAATTTATGTGTTAAATTATAATAATGCAATGTCATTTTAGTGCTTTTTTCAATAATATTTGATTTAAATGGCTTTTTAAATTTAGTAGAACTTAATTTAATTTATTTCTCTTATATTTGTTTTGCCATGTCAGCACATCATATTAATTTAACTGCTTTTTTCAATAATATGTTATTTATTCATAATAAATCAAACTGCTTTTTAATTTAGTAGAATTTAAGGTAACACTTTACTTAAAGCCTTTATGTATAATGCATTATAAAGGGTTATTAAAGGGTATAATGCATTGTAATTATTCATTATGTGCATTGTAATACATTACATCGTGTTGAAAATAATTACAACCAAATTTAAAATGCATAGCGTAACAATGAACTGATAAGCGTTATAATGTAGTGGTTACAATTATTAGTTAGATTGCACAATGCATTATAAAGTGCATTACAAGGCATAATTAATGCATTAAAGATACTTTTATAATGCATTTTACATAAAGGCTTTAAGTAAAGTGTTACCGAATTTAATTGAATTAATTTCTTTCAGATTTGTTTTCTATCATGTTCATTTTAAGGGGTTTGTTTAGAGAATACTACCTACCTAAAGCATAATAACAAGGGTCACTGTATTAGACCAGGTTGTTTTTTGTCAAATCTGGCAACCCTTCACTCAGAGTGAACGTGTTTGTGCAAGTGGAAAGACAGCAGCACATGTATGAAGAGCAGCTATTGTTAATGCTGATTGAATTATTTAATAAAACATCTTTGGAAACCACTGCATTAGTGTATAGATGAGCTCAAAACTAGCCTTTTGATTTCATGGGGTCTGTAATGATGTGTCAGAGGTAGGAAAGTTAGAAAAAATAAAAGAAATTAGAACATTTTAAAACAAGTAGCTTACAGTAGATTCTTTTTTGCTTTTCTTCTCTGACATTGATAGAGGAAAAAAAAGGAGAGTATGCTGAAAACCGCTTCGCCGAGTGATCTGACAAGCAGAGACACAACGCAACATCATTTCAACTCCTACAAAATTACTTAAATTAATTTCCGAAACCGTCTTGTAACTAAAAAAAATAGCACATGTATATAATTTATGAAGACGTAGACAATAAAAATAGAATCAAAGCTACATTTGTCATGTATGCGCTCAGGTAGATATGACTGTGAGAGGGTGTTTGTGGGATGGGCTAAAGCTGGGATGGTGAGTGTGAGATGAGCGATAGGGTTCGGGGGAAAGTGGGACTGCATTTCTGTGGAGAAACCGGTCTAAGTGGCCTGGTCTAATGCTCTTAGGAGGTCACTGCCCTGCAGCAAATGAAGATTGCCTTGCAATGGGACGTTGACCTCGCAGTCGTAACGCGTCAGTTCAGGCAGAGAGTAGGTCTCGAAGGAGGCCCCGATAAGACGACTCGCGATTCCTGCAAACACAAGCGGTTCTGAGAATCAGCATTCACAGTGCATGACGTATGTACGAGCAGATGCGTGTCTGTGTCGGTTCAGAACTCACCATCCATCTTGGAGGAAGGCTGCATGTTGAACTCTCTGTAGTTACAGCACTCTTCTCTAAAGCTCTTTGTCGCTTGTCCGGCCTGATTCCCTGAATACTGGGTCTTCCTGTGCTGGTGGTCCATGCCTCCATTAGGGGCCATGCCTTTGTCTAGATATAAACACATTTGATTAGCAATTGATATTGGATTTGTCTGCAATACACATGCTAGACATTGATAGTTGGTGGGTGCTAAAGTGTTCTTTTGGCATGATTTGCTCTGATCGGTGTAGATTTCTCTGTAGAATCATTTTTTATTATTAATAATAATAAAGCATTTTCGGTGTAATACCTGATTTTCTGTCCATAACGGCACAGCTCTCATTCCGAAGTCTCTTCCACATTGGCTGTTGTGATTTTGTGATGGGCGGCTCATTCTAAAACATACAGAGAGCATGTGGTGACTTATAATTTAAACATAAATATCACCCAAAACAAAAATGTAAAACTATAATTTCAAAGTGTTTCAAATGTTTGGATACACTTGATCTAATTGACATTATTTTATGATTTTATAAAATCTTTTAAAGAGAGGTTTATGATTAAATGCTTGAGAGTTTGCCAGGTAAACACAAATTTATTTGAAAATGGAGTGGATAATGAAGGAAAGGCAGCCAACAAATGTCCAGGACATCTTTCAAGCTAAAAATATAAGGTACTAAATAAAGTACTAATACAAATTATTAGTACTAAAATAGTACGAACAAAAAATAAGTAGTAGTTCAAAGTTTTGACTGGAAGTGTGCGTTTGAAAAAATAAGCAAACCATGTCGTTTTATTTATTTAATAGATCATTATTTTCAGGACAGTAAGCAGTTAATATTTTCAGTTTCTCTCGCTCTCTTTTTTACTTATTGCATTTTAATTTAAACAATATTACTGTAATACAATTACCTTCATAAGTACTTTACCATTAGGTTGGTAAGAATATTTCTGGCATAATAATAAAGACAATTTTAGAGGGTAAATATGCAACAAAAAAAAATACAAATGAACCAATCAAATTTCCTTTGTGAAATATAATTAATAATTATTTATTAATGTTTAGATTAATAATTTATTGCATTATACACTACCGATCAAGTTTCTTATGCTCACCAAACCTGCATTTATTTGATCAAAAATACAATAAATGCAGCAGCAATACTGCAAAATATTATTACAATTTAAAACAATGTTGTCTAGTTTAATATATTTTAAAATGTAATTTATTCCTGTGATGCAAAGCTGAATTTTCAGCATCATTACTCCAGTCTTCAGTGTCACATAATCCTTCAGAAATCACTCTGATATACTAAAAACATTAAATATAATGTTAAATATGAACAAACCATTGTCATCTGTGTGAACGAGCGCTTGAAATTGTTAGCGAGAGCAAGTCGAGCTGGACTTATATCTCTGTAGTTCTGCACAAAGTTCTCCATGGGCCTGTGAAACAAAGACCGGAGTCATCCAGTGCAAATCTAAAGATAGCAGCATATGTTATTTTATAAGACCGAACCCAGAGAAACACCCTGTAATATGCAGAATCACCTTTGCAAATAAGGCGCCATTCGATTTGCTGGCACAGTTTGGCAAGAGCGCTTTGCAGCTAAAGGATCCATCATTCCAGCCTTGCTGGGTAACGGAGGGTCAGGCGGCCACTGCAGATTCTGACGGCCTCCCATAGAGGACAGCGGGGTGCTGGCGGGGTCATGGTAGGGAGGCATCTGCATGGGGCCCCTGCTGTAGGGTACAGATGGCCAGGACTCCACAGAGCCTCTGTTGATGCTCTGCTTGTCCCCTCCTGAACTCATGTTGGGCTGGAAGTGGGCTGCTGAAGGGGAACTCAAGGGTTGGAAGAGGCTTGTGATGTTGCTGAAGCTCTGCTGGTTGGTACCCAGGGCCCCGATCTCAGATGACGGATCCTCCTGGCAGATGGGATTGAGCTGGAAGTCCTCACCATCCATGGGGATGTAGGGAGCCAGAGTCTCCAAGTCCAGATCATTCAGGTCAGTCTGGAAGGTCACAGGGAGAGGTCAAAGGTCAGCAAGTCTGGATTCTACATGGAACACCTGATTTTGTGTTTTTCATAATAGTTGACATTAAAAGGATCACGAGGAATCAAAATATCTCTGGATAAGATAAAAGAGAACCTTCAAAAGAGTTTTTTTTCTTTCAGAAATGAAAAAAGGGACTGCCAAAACAAATCAAAACAAAACATAAAACAAACAAAAAACACTCACATCTATTTAAAATAACAAAAAAAACGTACTGTTTTTGAAACAAAAAAACTAAACAAAAAACTCTTATTTGTTTAAATATGCATTTGTTTAAAAGTGTTTATATACAGTATATATTTAACGGGATTTACATTTCTCATGATCTTATCATACCTTTGCTTGAAGGTTTGGCAGGCAAATACAAACTTTTTTTAAAATTTATTTTATTTAATGGATGAGACTGGATTAAGAAAAGGCAGCCAACAAGTGCTCTATGTGGGAACTTTTAAATATATATTTTTAAATATTTAAAAATGTTTTTTAAAATTAAAATAATAATAATAATAATATTTTTCCTGTCATATTTAAGATTTCTTCGAGATTTTAACCAGTTATAATCTCAGTGAAATATGTACATATAAATATTAAAAAGTATGACGTACTTCATATTAAATATAAAAGCATTATTGATATTACAGTTTGGATATTGTACAACCTTTTGGTTGCAGGGAGTCTTTGTCTCTTGTGTGTCCAAGGAAAACAGTTTCTCGGTCAGCTCCACCTTCAGGTCACTGTCCACTGAGGTGTAGTAATCTCCAGGACTGCTGGGCTGTTCAATAAATAACATACTCTATGACGACATACTGTACAGTAATCAATGTTTTATGCAAACAAAATATGTGGCGATGAGAAGATGTAGTATTTGTGTTTACTGTAGAGCAGCTGCTCAGGCTGGGAGTTGTACTGCTGGCCGGCAGAGCCTGAGGCACAGAGAAAGTGCCGGCCATCTTGGCCATGTCTCCAGCGTAGCTTGTCTTGTGTCCATCATGAACAGAGTGAGAGACAGCAGGGGCAACAGCAGACACTTTGCTGTACATCGGGTGCTCCTCATACTGGGGGTTACCTGAAAGAAAGAAGAATGAATTGAGCAGATGAAGATTTGTATTGTAGGTAACGAGGTGTGGCATAAAAAAAGTGTGATAGACCAATATATCAGCCGGGCTGATTTACAAGCTGTTTTTATTTGGCCATTTTGAGATTGTACTGTCAGATGACCCTGTCAGCTTGACTGATTAAAAAAAGGCTGCAGTTGTGTCAGTCTTACAAAACAGTAGTTGTAGCTGCTTTATACATTACGTTGGTGAGAATATTTGCTAACACTTTTAATATTTTTAGTATAGGGACCAATTCTCACTATTAACTAGTTGTTTATTAGCATGCATATTACTACCATATTGGCTGTTTATTAGTGCTTATAAAGCATGTATTAATGCCTTATTCTGCATGATCATATTTTAGATCCCTTAACCCTACCCAATACCTAAACTTAACAACTACCTTGCTAACTATTAATAAGCAGCAGATTAGGAGTTTATTGAGTTAATAGTAGATTAATAGTGAGAACTGGTCCCCAAACTAAAGTGTGACCAAATATTTGTTAGCATTATAATAAAGATAATTTTAAGGGGTAAATATCCTGAAAAATCCAAATGGCTCTAATTGATACCCTTTGTAAAACATTGGTTTATATATATATATATATATATATATATATATATATATGAGAATAAT